CCCAGTGGCATGGGCGCCATCAGGGAAGGACTTGGGGGACACGGAGAAGGAGTTAAAGACCGTCCCCCCTCGGCTTTGTCATGGCCAGAGTCCTCATCCTATCCGAATGAAGTCTCCTTAGCTCTTGGCCGCTCTGCCCAGCCGCCTGACCAGGTCGGTGAAACAATACTAAAGGCAGGTACAGCCCTGATCTGGATCAGGCAGTTCCTGGCGACAATTAGGCCTGGAAAAGGAATGTATTAAATCCTATGAAACTTACTTTGCTAAGAATGCCCTCGAGTTAATGAGTACTGATGTTTGGGGTTGAGCATAGAATGTGATCAGTTTCCCAGGTTTCAGGGCCGAATGGGCACCAGCTTGTCTACCAGATCCTGACCTGAGGCAAATCTCCAGTGCTCCTTCAATCATAGCCTTTCAACATTGATTAATGAGCTTTGCACGCACGCTATAAACCCCTGCGCATATCGTTCTCAATAAAAGCCACTTCAAGAGAAGGGCTTGGGGAATTCTCCACTAGAGGGAATCTCCACCCCCTTTTCCTGGAAGATCAAGAAGTGTTTGGAACGACTTATTTTATTTTTACCATCCGTGGCGACCTGGGGGGACTTTGTGGGAACAGGATACCCCCATCAAGAAAGAAGGATGGAGCCAGATGTGGCTGAACCAAAAGGATGAACATTATATAAGCCAAGAAAAAACTGACCAACTAGGGGAAGGACAAGGGTCACTGGGAACCTTAGTAACTGCAGTTCTAAATGAAGCAGACTAAAGGTAAAGCTATAATGATCCAATAAAAATGCTTTGCCTTGAAACTACAAATCTGGAAAATATGATGTCAAACAAGGAATTTTCTGCCCTGTCCACTCAACTGAAACTTGGCATGCAACCCACTCTTCCACAGCAGCCCCTGCTGGATGGGGTCATGACACATCCACGGGCTGACTAAACCGTGTAATTGCCAGAACTCACTGGCCCCCACGGATGACCCTGGTTTATTCACTGGACTTACACAGCCACACAGTCGTGCTGTTCCTAGGAAGGGAGCCGGTCCCTCTCCTTCCCTTCCCATACCTGGCTTCCTGCTCCTGCTCCACGTCACGGTCACTACTGAGTTTCTATGCTCACAGGCCTGCTTCTACTCTCTGATGCAAAGGAATCATAAAGCTAGGAATCTCTGCAGATGTGAAACACCTTGTTTATGGAGCACCTTCTGCTAAGAGCATAAGACAAAATAAAAGTTAGAAAGAACAGCACAGGATAGGTCGGAAAAGTTAGACCTCATCAATTATCTCACCCATCATGGCTGTCGCAAGCAAACTATCTGCAACCTCTTTCACGTGACGTTAATTTTTTTGTGTCCTATTCCTTATTTGTCACCCAAACCAACCGAATAGCTTGAACACACAGTAGTTTTGTGCCCGTAGCCATTAACATTTCTGGTGGATTGGAGAAATGACTACATCTAAAAAAATTCTGACTTTGATTTAAAAAAAAAAAGTGTGTAAGTACCGCAATGCTAATGATAATGTCCACAATGCTAACAATAATGTCTCTAGTGATTCAGGGGAATGAAAGTAGTCTTTTTATTGAAGTTAAAGGTTTCAACTGCACTGCTGAGGAAGATAGGAAATTAGAGAAATAAATATTTTAAGAGAAACACATAGCGGTGTCCATTTATATCTCTGGCCCCCCCCACTGAGATTTATGTTTCAGTGAATCACATGATGAAAACATTACAAGAGATCTGCTCACTTGACAGGCTACACCGCTGACGTGATTCTGCTAGGCTAGGCAGTGTGGAGGGGCTACGAGGAACTCAGCCTCCCCGCTCCCTCTCAAATGCTATAATGATCTGTTTCCCCTTGTCACTCCACTGATGACAGGCGGGCACGCCACTCTGCTCTCAGTTTCCTGTGCTCATGCTTTTCATTCGGCCTGATGTAGCAGAAATGTGAATTAAACACAGTTTCAACAAAAACAGGAATGTGTATAAGAGAAAAGAATATTTCTTAATTTTTAAAAGTTTATTTTTCTTTTTAATAAAATGAATATATATTTATTATGGAACACTTAGAAACAGACAAAAAGAAGAAAATGAAAATCATCCACAATCCTGCTCCCCAACCTCAGTATAGCCACCATTAAATAACTGCATGTTTTTAAAAGAAAATATATTACTCAGAAGTAATCAAAAATAAAAAGTTGATTTAGCTGAAAGCATAAAGTGAAATAAAGATCACAAGGCATTAAAAATCACCTGGATTTACAAACTGTTACCATTTGGCTACATCTGCTTCAGCTGTCTACACACACACATGCGCGCGGGCACGCGCACACACACACACATTTCTGCTGTGCGATCACTTGAAAGTAAAACACAGATACCATGACATTTCACATTTAATACTTCAGCAAGTACTTCTTAAGAACAAGAGCACTGTATGGGAAAGTAACAGTTTTTGTGGACTAACCAAAATTTGTAATTCTTTTTCTAAGGCTGACCAAGATCATGGAAGAGACTGTAAAATTATGATTAGCCTAATTAAAGCTTACTTGCCTCCCCTTGTCCCGTATTGGGACTCCTTCCTCTTAAACAGTTTCTCAGCCTCGGCACCGTCGATGCGTGTGCCGGGCACTGTAGGGTGTTGGCAGCAGCCCGGCCTCCACCCTCTAGATGCCAGCAGCACTCCCAGCTATGGCAGCTGAGCGAGCCTCCCGACACTGCTAAATGTGCCCCTGGGGGCATGCGCCCCAGCTAGAGAAACACTGCTCTTCAGCAGCAGCAGCAAAGAGGACAGTACACACATATGTCCTGAAAGCTAAGCACAGGCAGCATGTTCTAAGTGTCCTACATGCATCGAATTGATCAGTCCCTAGCATAACCCTCTGAACTGGGTTGTGCAGTACCTCCATCTACAGAGGGGACAGACACAGCAAGTTAAGTAGTGTGCACAGCCCACAGAGCCACCAAGCAGCAGAGCAGGGATTCAAATACAGCCATGCTGCACCCCCAGGCACCCGCACCCAGATGGGCCCTCACAGACTTACTCCTAGACGCACCATTTTTCCCGTCCCTGCTCATGCCAATCCTCTAAGTCTTTTGTGAAACTCAACCCTACACCAGGCTTCTGACCGTTCTGTATGGCACTAACACAATGCTAGTGCTCCTGGGCTCCTTGGAAAACACGATGAGCCCTTTGGGAATTGTGCAAAGTCTGAGTTCCTGCAGGTTCTGTCCTTGCTCATTCTAGGTCGAGAGAAAGGGCTGTTACAGACAACCTGCTTCCATCCTAAAGAAGCTTCCCAATGAGTTGATGTGGGAAACACAGTGGCGCTGGGCACACAGTAAGCTAAGTGGAACGTCAGAGCTGGCTCTTCTCCCCCACCGTTTCAGGGCAGTATCTTTGCACTGTCTCCTCTCACAGCCTTGGTGCTCGGCACACACTAAGTTCTCGATAAATATTTTTTTAGCAAATGAATAAACACACCAAAAAATTGCTCCCTTCGAACCTGATGTCCAACACTTGGCCAATACACTTAGTTGACCACTATTCTTAATTACAAGAGGTGTTTTTGATGGTCACTTAACAAGGAAAAAAGTTTAGTTCACATATGCAATTTACAAAGGACATGGGAAAATAGGCATTCTCCTTTAATGCTGATACTTATTCAAACCGATACAAACTACTAAACTGCCCTCCAGGAAGTTATGACATTCCTTAAAAATGTGTATAAATTTGAACAAACAATTCACCCTAAAATTACCAGCTGTGTATACAAAAGAGAGGTACGAGAATGTTCTCTGTGGTATTTTTTTATGACACTGAATGTATTTTAGCTTTGCTTTCATTCAAAATGTTAAGTGAAGGTTATATGTAGGTGAAAGAGATGTCCTTGACAGAATTAGCACATGTAGTTTCAACTGCTTGACTACAAAGACCCCCGGCATGTCACAGAACGCGTGAGCCTGCTGTTGCGTAAAGGTGAGCAGCCCCGAGAGCCTGGTGGTAGGGAAACGGTTCCCGGTTGGCCGGCATGGCCGGTCCACTGCCTAGCTTCCACATCTGAGCTCAGTTTTGATGTTGCAGGATGAACTCTAGCTGACCTACAGTGACTTCCAGGGGTTTCTGGGGAAACTATTGTGGTTCCAAGGCACCGAGTTCAGGAATGTGCTCGGACTGGACTGAAACAGCCTTGAAGGATGAGGCTGACGGATGAACACCATGTGCACTCAGAAGTGTGACACTCCGCAGCCATGTCGCAGCTTAACTGCAGCACTGACGAGGGTGCCTGCAGATGAGGTGGCCTCCAGCACACATCTACTTAAGACGGGACCTAGAGGGACCCAGAAGGTGAGTTACATTTTCAGACATCTTCTACAACTTGGAGAAGTTTTATTTCTCTAGGACGTGTGGCCCATCGCTTGGCCATTATCTTGTCTGCACGGCCCCTACCTTGATTCTATTTTTATTTATTGATTGATTGATTCTTAGAGAGAAAGGAAGGGAGAGAGAAAGAGAGAGGAACATTGATTTGTTGTTTTACTTATTTATGCATTCATTAGTTGATTCCCATATGTGCCCAGACCAGGGATCAATCCTACAACTTTCGGTGGAGCTCTAGCCAACTGAGCTACCTGCAAGGGCTGCCCCAATTCTTTAGATAACTGAATTATTGCATTTACCCAAATGGTATCTGTGTCTGGTCTTTCTATGAATAATCCATACCTATGACTATCCTTTGTCACTAACATAGCAAAACATCCCTCTACCCCACTAACTATAAACCACGGTAACAGGCAATGCTTTGCAAAGAGTGGTTCTGAAACCTGGAGGGATGAAGCAGCTCCCTGGAGGTATGAATGCAGAGTGCGACCTTTCAGTCTATCCCAGTTGGTGGCCTCATCTGCCTACCACCCCCAAGAGCTGTCCTGAACAACAAAAGATCAAGAGCCAACCCCTGAGCACAGCCCCGGCTCCAGTCCTCACTCCAGCCGGTACCTCGGGTAGGATGAACTGCTCCACGGGCTTGTACCACAGCTTGTTCACCTGCACACCGCAGCTCGGGGGACTGAAGCGAGCAATGAAGAGGGCCTCCTGCAAATGGGGTGAACGGGAACAAGAAGAGATGTTTCATGCTGGACACTGCATATGCAACAAGTCTTCAAATATCTTAAGTCTCAGTGGCCCCAACCTTGTTTACCAACATCGTTCTACCTTGGTTTAGATGTCATTTGGGTTTTCTAGTGCAATCATGGTTTAAATAAAGATATTAAAGATAACTGAAATTGTCAAGAAGTTCTAAAACACTAAAAATAATCCACACAACCTTAAAAAAACCCCATCTTGAAATGAGAAGCTTTAGGGAAAGTGTGAGGTACTGTTAAATTAAGCTAATTTATTAGGTTTAACCCCAAAGGGTTAAGAATGAGCTGAAATAACACAGATTTCTACATGGAACAAAGATACTCAGGAATGCCCTTCAAAAAGAACCTTAAAAGGAAAACAAAAACAGAAGCAAAAAGTGAATATAAAAGAGCACTGATTATCAAGTCTATTGTTTTCTTGGGCCCTTCCCAGTTTGTTTTAGGCAGGATCACTTCCCTCTTCTCATGCCTATTCTTACACACCGATTTACCATAGAGGAGTATATGTTACAGTTATTGAGTCGTGTGGAAGTTCAGAATCACGGGGGTTTCAAGTGGATTATGTGTATTTCTTTCATTAACATCAGTTCTTGGCAATGTGCTGGTAACACTTTTTCCAGTGTGACTAGCTGTGAACGCATTAGCATCCACGTTAGACTGGGCCTTCTTGGAGGACAAAGATTAATTCCTCCTTGGCTAAAACTAGGGCTACTAAAAGTTAAATCAGCATGATCAAACTATTAACTATTGTACGTCTGAACTAAACTACCTGACTGATAGCTTAAACATTATGAATAGTTTAAAAAGAGACTACATGTATTAAGGCAGTTAAGTGTATGAAAAATATTCAAGATAAATCGTAATTTCTAGATAAGCATATCAGTGAAATTCAGGGTATTGCTATTTCAGTTACCTATATGAATTTCAGTATCAGAGAAACATTTAACCATGGGAATACGTAAACTGCTATACTTGACTAACTTAATGAAGTTCTTCTCACTGTAACCATAATGGCTGGAATCACCACAAGGACTTGTTCCCTCTCTTATATTTACAACATTAAGCACATTTACAAATGACACAGATTCTTTAGAGGAAGTAGGAATAGGACAAACAGCAAGAAAGAAATTTAGGCCCTGGCTGGTGTGGCTCAGTGGATTGAGCGCCAGCCTGCAAACCGAAGGGTTGCTGGTTCAATTCCCAGTCAGGGCACAGGCCTGGGTTGCAGGCCAGGTCCCCCCTTAAGGGGCTCATGAGAGGCAACCACACATCGATGTTTCTCTCCCTCTCTTTCTCCTTCCCTTCTCTCTAAAAATAAATTAAAAAAAAAAAAAAGAAAAAAAAAAGAAAGAAATTTAATCTTAAATTGATTTGTGTATGTACTGGTGACTAATATTGTATCTGTTGGTAACAATCAACATTAGCAATAATATAAAAACATTTTTAAAAATGCCTAAAAAGTCCTGAACAGAGTTCTGCCTCCAGTGACATTGTACTAATTCTCCTACAGATAACAACTATGGATTCGGAACAAAAGATTTAAAAAGCTGATCTGAAGGCACTGGAATGTGAATCACAGCAGCAGATACCAGACGACAATCAGTCCTGGGAAGGAGAGGACGGGCAGTGGTTCCCTGACTTTTTATGACTCTTTGTCTAAAGGTACATCTTGAGAGGCAACTAAACATTTGAATTAAAAACACGCAGTCTTTCTGGCTGCAAAATCAGAGAATAAAGCAGGGGCAAACAGTCCTGGCTGGTGTGGCTCAGTAGACTGAGTGCCAGCCTGCAAATAGAAAGGTCGCTTGCTCAATCCCCTGTCAGGGCACAGGCCTGGGTTGCAGGCCAGGTCCACAGTTGGGGGCTTGCAAGAGGCAACAGATCGATAGATCTCTTGCATTCGATGTTTCTCTCCCTCTCTTTCTCCCTTCCTTCACCTCTCTCTAAAAAAGGAAATAAAATCTTTTAAAAAAAGAAGTTGGGACAAACACATCAGCTAAAAAGTGAGAAGGAAAATCTCAGAAAGAAAAGGGTCAGAAAGAGAGAGCCTGAAATTCTCCATATAAATTCTACTCAAATCTGTGGCTGACTCATGAAATACACATTCAAAATAGCACTCAAACAGCCCATATAAGTCCAAAAAAATGAACAAAGATTTCAGCTGCAGTCCATTGCAAGGAAAACAGTTCAGAGTCTACATCCAGCTAATTTAACTGCCTGCTAAAACAATACAAAAAAAAAATCAATACTTTTTAAGGACTGTAATAGGATCTGGAGATGGTACAATGAATTATTAACAATATCTAGGATATAATCCAAGGTCACTCAATATGAAAGGAAAAAATATCATCCATATTCAAAGAGCAAATATTAAAATCAATAAAGAGAGACCCCAAGATGACTCAAATATCAGAACAAACAGTCAGAATTTTAAATCCATTATTATAACTAACATCAAGGCTGCAGGAAAAAAAATACATGCTCAAAACGAATGAACACAGGAAATTTTAGAGAAATAAAAACTACAAAAAAGTATTAAATGGAAGTTCTAGAACTAAAAACTACAGTATTGAAAATTAAAAACTCAGCCCTGACTGGTGTGGCTGAGTGGACTGGCCGTTGTTCTGAAAACCAAAAGCTGTCACAGGTTCGATTCCTGGTCAGGGCACATGCCTGGGTTGTGGGCCAGGTCCTCGGTTGGGGGCGTGAGAGAGGCCACTGATCAATGTTTCTCTCCCTCTCTCCATCCCTTCCCTGCTCTCTGAAAATAAATAAATAAAGCCCTGGCTGGTGTGGCTCAGTGGATTGAGTGCCGGCCTGCAAACCAAAGGGTCCCCGGTTTGATTCCCATTGGGGCACATGCCTGGGTTGTGGGCCAGGCCCCCAGTAGGGGGCGCATGAGAGGCAACCACTTTCTCCCTTTCTCCCTCCCTTCCCCTCTGTCTAAATAAATAAATAAATAAAATATTAAAAAAATTCATTAGCTAAGCTTAACAGATTTGATATGAGAGAAAAGTAGTGAATTTGAATACAGATTAACAGAAATTATAAAATCTGAAAAACAGAGGGAAAAAACCAGTTTTGTGACCTGTGGGACAAAACTGAAAGGTAAACATACATGGAACTGGAACCCCAGAATAAGTACAGAGAATGGGGCTGGGAAAGTTTTTTTAAAAAGAAATAATAGCTGAAAGTTTCCCAGCTTTGGTAAAAGATATAAATATACACATTCAAGAAATGTGGCAAACCCTGAGCAGAACAAGCATAAAAAAAAACCCCACAGTACAACATACCCAAACTGCTTACAACCAAATTTAAAGAGAAAATCTTAAAATCAGCCAGGAAAAACAAAACAAAAAAACCACATTGCATGCATCACACACGAAAACAACATGGAGGATTGCTGACTTCTCACAAGAAACAGAGGAGGTCAGAAAACACCGGAGTGACATCTGAAACTTATGAAAAGAAAAAAAACTCAACACACAATTTCTATATCCAGACGGTACCCACAAGAAAAAAAGCGGGGGTGGGGCGGGGGGGTGGAGAATACATGCAAAATTAAAACATTCTCAGAAAGATGAAAACTAAATGAATCGATCACAGTAAACATGCACTACAAGAAATGCTAAAGGCTGTTCTTTGGGCTGATATTAAGATGGAAACATGGATGGATATTCAAGAAGGAATGAAATAGTAAAATATGGGCAAATATAAATGACTATTTTTGTCTGATTTAGTTTAGTATACATTTAGCTATTTAAAGCAAAAATTATAACACTGTATTGTGGGAATTACAGCATACACAGATGTAACGCATGTAACAACCAGAGCAAAAAAGATGGGAGGTGGTAAATGGAATTATGTAGTTCCAAGGTCCTTACAGTTTACACTAAGGGCTACAGCATTAACTTTAAGAAGACTGAAAAGTTCAGGATTTATATTCTAGTCTTTATGTCAACCATACACACAAACAATAACAGTGCTAAGAACTGTAGCTAAAAGGAAACAACTATTAAGATGGAATTCTAAAAAACATTCAATTAACCCAAAAGAAGGCAGGAAAAGAGGAACAGAGAAACAAACAAAAAAAAATGTGCAACATACACAACATAGCAAAAAGCTTAACTCCAACCATTTTGATAAATGGATTAAATAGGAATAGAGTAAACACCCCATGTGAAAAGCAGAGATTCTCAATTCTCGGACTGGATAAGAAGGAAGACCAACTGTCTGCAGAAACGTAATTTCCAGCAATCCATATAACGAATAAAACAGCATGACCAAGAGAGGTAGGATGTTGGTTTAACACTCCAAAGTCAAAAAGTGTAATTCACCATAATAACAGAATAATGGAGAAAAACCCTGGAAACACTGCAGGTGCTCATCAAAAGGAGAATGGGTAAATATCGCATATTGCTGAAATACAACTTAGCAATGAAAAGGAAAAGGAAAAATTCACTGATAACTACAACAACATGGATGAGTCTCAAAAACATTATGTGGAGTGAAAGAAGGCTTTACACAGAGCGTACTCACTATATGATTCTATTTGTATATAAAGTCCCACAACAGGCAAAAACTAGTCTGTGGTTTTTTTTCTTTCTTTGTTTTATTTTAAAAAATATTTTATTTATTTTTAGAGACGGGAAGAGAGGGAGAGAAACATCAATGTGTGGGTACATTTCACACACCCCCTGCTGGAAACCTGGTCTGCAGGCCAGGCATGTTCCCTGACTGGGACTCAAACCGGCGACCCTTTGGTTCATAGGTTGGCACTCAATTCACTGAGCCACACCAGCCAGGGTTAGTCCGTGGTTTAAAAGAAGAGGGAGGATGGGAGCTGCCTCTAGTGAACAGGGTAGGGTGATAGAAGTTTGTGTTCTACATATTTACATAGTTTAAAAATTTGACCGTACATTTCACTGTATGTAAAATTTTAAAAACCACAAATATTAAAGTCTAGTCCATGATATGCAGGCAGGAGTGTTTGGGTTCAAATGTACTGATGCCTGCAAGTTACTCTGAAATGCACTTAAAAAAAAAGACTAATGAATAACTATATGTATAAACAAATAACAAAAAGTTCACTAATGTAGGATTTAGTGGGTGGATATATAGGTGTTCACTGCATAATTCTTTCAAGATTTCTGTAGTTGAAAACCCAAGAACAGATCTTTTCACATATCATTTCTTTCTACACTCCTTCAGATACACTCTGTGAACAAATCAGATTTCCCCAAATCTCAGGACCAGAGTAACCCCAGTGGTTTTCAGCTTTCCTTCCCTCTGCATCTTTACTGCATAAAAGGTTGCGTGGGACGATGCTCCAATCAACTGGGCCACACCTGCCAGAACTAGGCTGGGCATTTCTAATGTGGTCCACCTCCTTTTCTAGATAGAACACGTTTGTGCATTGGTATTCTCTTCCCAAACCAGCGTTATCATACAGGGTGTGGCAAAAGTAGGTGTACAGTTGTTTATATGGAAAATACAATAATTAATCAATTATAACACAAGAATAAACTCTGTGTTCTGCGTACTCACTACTGTAAACCTACTTTTGTTCCACTCTCTCTGTTACACTATAAGGTACCCAGTTGGTAGGGAAGAAAGACAAAGTCTCCTAATCTATGATATGCCATGAGGAAAAAGCCAGTGTTTTTGAAAAAGAAAAATTGGGAAAACCTTGTACAAAGCAGTGCATACCTCCCGTTCTGCCTGATAAAGCTTGACAGTGATGTTCCTTTGGAAGCCTGCATCGCTGGCTTCATAAAACACCCCGAGGCTGGTGATAACGATCGGGTAGAGAACGCGAAAGCTCACGCTGACGACTCGGTCCTCAGAGAGCCCCGCTGACGTGTCCTCAGAAAAACTGAACGCCTCGATCTCCTGATTCAAAACTGGAGAAATAATAAATGAGAAAGGAGTTTTATATAATCAAATAATATAATGAAGTCGACTTGATAGCAAAATCTAGATTATTTGTTATATAATTCTTTCACAAATGGCAATAATTTTTTAAAATGCTTCAGAAATATGGCTGCTTTTAGGAAAAACCCAAACTTATTCTGAAATTTAAGAACAAAGGTTTTAGCCACATCTAAATAAAATATTTAATTTATTTAATTTCAGAGCTATTTTAATAGATTTTTGCGGACACATGTGTACATATGTACATGTAAACACCACAGGGAAATACTAAATTCAAAGGCACCTACTAGGAAAAGTTGGATAATAGAAATGTTAAAAACAATACTGATTACAGTCATAAATAATGAATAAATTGTCTTACTCTGCAAAGTCCAAAAAGCCTACTTCCTGGGTAATTTAAAATATTTGTGATGTCAGGCAATTATTACAGACAAGAAAGTAACTGAAATAAGGCCAAATAACACTGAAAACCTCTTGCCATACAATACTGAGAAAACAAGCACATCAAACACAGTGTGCATTATTTACAAATGTTGTCAGCCAATATATTGAGTATTAATAAGGACTGCATTTTCTTATTTTTATGTAGATAAAAATTGTTTTCTTCCCACCCCCAGTGGATCATGTGGATGTCTACTCAGAATTCCTGGAATGTTATTTTACACTTAGTAGATGCTCCTTGGCAGACTGAGTGGGACTGACGGCTCCTACCCAGCTACATACACGAGCAGGAGGGAAAAAGGGAAGATACAGGATTTGTCCAGGGCTGGGCAGGCACTGGCCAGAGTCTAGACTCCAAATATACTGAATGACAATGAAAGTTTTTCTCTATAATATAGCTGGTGAATAAAAGATATCCCAAGTAGAAGCACATCTATTATAGGCAATAGTTTAAGTACATTATAACATATACAGATACTTTCTATCGAAAACACTGTATCTTTAAATTCAAGCTACCTGGACACAGGAAACCTTGCTGCTTTGACAATATTATTAATCAGAACTTCTATACATTCAGAGTATCATGATTACTGTTCATAATGACCTTGAGGTGTTGAAATAAAGCTAAATGCCATCTGAATCATCAAAATGATGTTAGGTATTACATATATGGAAATTTTCCATTAATGGAAATCTCCACTCCTTTCCTATTAGAAAATAATAGCACTTTAATAAAAGTGGTTAATTTAAAGGTGAGATTTTCTAAAATTTGGTTGGGTTTTGGATTTCAAATATAATTTGTTTTAGGCTACTACTACATCATCAGTAATACATTTTGTTAGATTCATGATCCTTCTGGGACTCCAGTAAAACTTAAAGGATATTCTCCTCAGAAAAACACAATTATACACAAAATTTTGCTACGAAGTTACCTAAATTCAGACACCCTTCATAAGAAGCCTCTGTTGTACAATACAGATCTGAAAATACAGTCAAATTTATTTAACAAGCTGAATTAAGCCAAACTTTATAAAAAGGTAGGTTCTTTATAATAACAATATTTAAGCACCTAACATCTAGGAACTATTCCTGCCAAAAGCAGGTTTATAGTTGTCGGTATGGAAAATAATGTGGGAACAATTTTTTTTTTTTTTACCTGATTTTAGAGAGCGAGTGTGAGGGAAAGGAAGGAAGAAACAGAGAGGGAGAGAGAGAAAGAGAAACATTGATTTGTTGCTCCACTTATTCATGCATTCTCTGGTTGATTCTTGTATGTGCCTTGACCGGGATCAAACCTGCAACCTTGGTGTATTGGGAAAACGCCCTGAGCTACCCGGCCAGGACAACAATAAATAACAGATAATACAAGAACAGACTCCATGTTTCATGCACTCACTACTGTAAACCTACTTTTGCCCCACTTTGTCTTTTATGTGCATTAAACTTATTTCATCCTTGAGTCAATCCCTGAGGTTAAGTACTTTTATCCTCAGTTGATAGATGATAAAACTGAGGCACAGGGGAGTAAGAACTGATCAAAGGTCACAGAGCTGGAAAATGGCAGAGCCTTGATCTAAAGCCATGACGCCTGACTCCATACCCCACGCCACTATGCTAGCACTGTTAGAAAAGGGAGGTGTATATATATTTAACACATAGGTCTCACAAATCTTAAAATACCAGAAGTCATAATTAGCACATAGAAGACTCTGAAAAGTTTCGTCTCACTTAGAAATGTTAGGGTAGCAGCTAGGAATGAGTGGTCAGGGGGAAATAAAGGTAGGGCCCTCACCACTGCACTCTAACAAAGAACCTAACAGAGGAGGCTATTATGAGTCGTCCTGAGCCTGGTTCGATAAGGTTGCCAGGCACTGCGAACAGCAAGATAATGTGTGTGGAGGCGGGCAGCCCTTGAAAGGCTGTGTGTATCATCTCCGCTAGCCGGGAAAACCTTGAGACTGTGTGTTTATCCCAAGGCCTGGAAGAGGGAACACGCGGGTTCTACAGTGCCCAAAGAAAATCCCGTGAAACAACTTTAGTTAACTGCCTGCCTCCCACCACCTATGTGAAATGAACAAATAGAGTCTGGAGCAGGATAAGGATTTGGGCTAAGAGACCCCACCCATATCTCCGTCTGGGGAGCCACATCTCCCTGGGAAAGCTGGCACCACCTTTACCCGTCAATCGAAATGTAACTATTTCACCCCCATCCCCTGACTATGTAAGTCCTCAGAACAAAGGATTCTCTTTCAGCTCTTTTGCCACATTGGGGAGGGGGGGGCGAGGGGGGGGGCGGCCACCACTTGGCCTCTGCCCACTCCCTTTTTGGCCACCTGGCTTTAGCTTTCCCACTAGAACTTAGCCCCAATAAACTTCGCTTACACGCTAGGCTTGCTGATCTGTGATTCTTTACTGTGTTGGCAAGAAGAACCCAATTTCTGGGAGTTTCTCCCATGACAGAACCACACCTGAACATAACAGGAAATGCTAAACTAGGAGAGGAGGTTACAGAGTTACCAACTTCCTAAAAATCAGTTCCCTGGTAACACAAAGAACCCCATTAGGACCACCTTTCTTCATCCCCATCAGAACTCACACAAGTTTTTAACTGTAAGAAATAAAAAAGTACTAGTTGTGTTTTTAATTTTTTACTTTGTTTCTTTTGTAGAAGCATAAGCAATAATTACAAAAGAAAGTGAATTCACAACATTTGTATCAAGGCTATTATAAATCAACAGGATGGTGGAATCAGCAGTTTTCCAAAAGTTCAAAATTCAGTACATGAGGATTTATCTCTGCATGAGGAACTTCCAGATGTGCTCAAATCACTTTGAAAAATTAATGCTCCTGGACCCTGAAATTACATGTACCCATAAAGAATCTTCACAGATACCCAGAGTGATCAGTCAAGCTGTTAAAAGGAGGAAAAATAAATTTTAAGGAAAGCTCCATTTTCATCTACTAAAAACAGACACCATATTACTCAGTTCAGCAACTTTTCCTCAACCTCAAACCTGCATAAGGCGGTCCCAGGGCGGAGCAGAGGAGACTCACCTGGGTTCGTGATGTTGAGCAGTCTGCAGGAATAAGGGTCTTCGCGGTCCGCCACAGGCACGTCACAGCCACGAGCACCTATTATGAACTTCACGAGCACACTGGGAGAGGAGTGGCGTTAACAGGGGTTACTGATCTCCACCTGGCATACTCACATTTCCTCATACCCATTTCAGAGCTTTTCCTTTGAGACACAGTATTAGAATTAATTCTAACTTCACTCTTCTAGTCTGGCAAAAAGAGGGAACAAGCAAATTCACAGCTGCTAACTACCAAGTGACCTACATGGGAGCCCTCCGCTGCAGTCCTGCATATATGCTATATAGTAAAGCAAGTATGAACACGTTTGGCCCGGCTACCAGCAAAAGCTCACACCAATAAAAAGCAAACAGTAGTCAACTTCCCATGCCCACAGCCAAAAACCCACCTCTATCTGCAGTCTTCTCTACTTGTGTCCTACTTCATAAGGTGTTCCTTTTGCTCAAGACTAGTCTTTCTCCCCAAGAGGCTGTCCTCTCCTCTCCTGGACCTCACCTCACTGGTTCCCTGGAACCCGTGGCTCCTTCCCTGCACATTATAAAAATGGTGAAGTCTTGACATCAATTTCTATTTACCTACTGTCCTTCCTTGTCCACATGTGTTCCTTTACAGTGAAATTCTACAAAGGAATTAACTAAAATTGCAGCCTCTAGTTTCTCATTTCCTACTCATTTTATAAAACAGAAATTTTAGCTTCAATATCCACGACTTTCTCTGAGATGTCTACCACCAATGTAGCCACTGACCTGCTACTAACCCAGCAGGCCCTGGCTCAGTCTCCTTACGGGGCTTTCTTCCCTTCATTACGAGGCCTGTTCAGTTGGCACCATTGGCTCTTCTTTCCCAGCTGATCCATTAGGAATGGACAGGAGCCCAGGGCTTTGCCTTGTAATCTCTTTTCACTTGTTCTCCTTGGACAGTATTTATCCCGAAGGCTTCAACTAGCCTGGGGATGCTTTCTGAATTAGCACCTCTCATTTGGGCCCATCTTCTAAGGAAAAGTTCCATCAGTTCATTGGACACCTTCACCTAGATGGCCCACAGAATGCTGTGTGTTGGAGCCTGGTCCTACTGGCTTGTAAGAGAAAGCTGCTGAATTTTCAGGAATTCTGTGAGCTGGTTGGTTATTTATTTATTTGTTTGTTTGTTTAGTGAGTTGGTTATTAAGCACAACCTTTATTAAAAATTAAATCCCATAAACTTACAAATATATTATTAAAAAAGGAAATGAATACTCAAATTAATGTCTTATTAGTTATTTCACTATTTATCTCTGCTTTTGAGGTTATTTATATCCATCCGATCTATATGGTGGAAATATAATGGCATGCTACTGACTATTTTCCCAAACTCTGTTTGGAGATATCGCATTAGATGCGTGATACCGGCCGTGGTAGGAACACTCACACCAGGGACACTGGCAGACACTACCAAGAAGGATTTGATGTATCGTTTTGTTGGTTGTCTAGTCTTAAAGTGGTAGAGAAAATGTTAATAATACAGATTAAACTTAAAATGCGATGCAAGTGTTGCCATTCCATTGTGAATAGTACAAAAAATTGAGGAAATACTCTTTGCTGATTCGGCAAAGAAGTCACTCACTTTACTGACTACAAATAAAGTTGTCACTTTAGGCTTACATTTTTAACTGAAAGGAAACATTTACGTCAGAACTACACTCTTGTCAACAGCAACCAGATGTTGGTTACAGATACAAAAGTCTAGTAAGCAGTGACAGTATTCTATGAGAACAATTAGCTACATGGACTTTACAATAAAGAGCACTGTACACATATTCTGTCAATTATGAGCTGCACATCCTTTATATCAACAAAGCTTATAATAAGCAGCACATACATACAAACATACTTCTCTTCAGAGGGCCAGGTGGTAAATGTCTACCAGCACACCACTGTCTGCAGGTACCTCACACTCCACGGGTCCATAACTGAGATTCTTCCCATGAACCCGCCCCTCTCATCTAGCATTTTTTGCCCTGATTGGTGACTTCACTACTCTCCAAGTTAGAAAGCCAACCATCAGCCCAGACTCCTCCTCCTCTTTCCACACCCAGTGACCCTATTTTCTCATAAGGTCACCACTCAGTTCAGCAGCTTAGCAGTTCATGACCTAATCACAGCCCACCTCTCCGTTACACCCCTTCCTCCGTCTCCCTCTCTGTCTCTGTGTCTCCGCCCCTCTCCTGCCCCTAGCGCTCTACCACACACTCATGCACAGATACCCTCACCCCTTCCCCATAATGCCCGGGCTCCAATTACACAGAACTGTTTGGAGTTTCCCAAAGTCTCCCAACTATTTTATACTTACTTATATCACAACACATATAACATTTAATGACACTTTTAAATCTATTTCCTTCTAAACAAGCCCCCATAAAGGCTCAGGCTATATTGCATCAATCTTTGTATTCTACCACACATTGTATACTACCTTATACAGAGGACACTATTAAATACTTGTGAAATTGACAACTTATGGTTTTATTATAAAGGGTTTCAATTAAATAAGGTCCTTGAAATATATGCAGAGTCTGACTTCCTCAGTGAAATCCAAGATGTGAAAGTAAACCATAACCACAGAAATGCAAACGCTTTTTACTAAAGGCCAATGAAGGTAGAACACCTTTCATGAACAAATAGCATTTAGAAATGAATAAATTTGCTAATTAAATTATTGCAGGTATTTACCAGATTTGTTTTCTTAAGCCATCTTAAACACTCTTACGGGATCCACAAAATTATTCTACCCTGGGAAGTTGTTTTTGGCTAATATCTATTTTTATACAGATATCTCATCATGTTAATTAACAAATGACTGAACTTACTAAATTTAAAGCAAGAATGCTCTGATGGCAAATAAATTACTAGTGGGCATCTGAAGGTTAACTGTACTCCTCACATTTAGTTCCGGGTCATTCCCTCGGTATTTGCTGAATGCCTTACTCTGTGCCAAGTTAGGTTCTAAGTGCTGGGAATGTATCAATGAAAAAAGCTGAAGCCCCTGTGCTCACATAAGTTATATTCTAGTAGAGAAACATTTATAAATATGCAACTAAATATAATACATATGCTTGTTGGTGATGAGTATTGAATATTATGAAGAAAAATAAAGCCAAGTAAGAGAAGCTAGAGATGGACTAGGGACAGGGTGCTATTTACTATGGGGCTGTCTGGTAAGAGGACATCTGAGCAGAGACCCGAAGAAAGCGAGCCCTGAGCCTATCCAGGGGAAGAGTGGTATCGGCAGGGGGCCTAGCAAATGCAAAGGCCTTGAGGCAGGAAAACAGGCGGTGTGCTGAAGCACAGCCACGTGGCCAGTGCTGGGGAAGGAGACGCAGATAAGATCGAAGACCACAATAAAGACTTGATATCTCACTTTGAACAAGAAAAGAACTGAATGGAGGGGTAAAAGCAGAAAAGTGACATGACATTTTAAAAGGATCATTCTGGCTGCTGTATGAAAAATAAATATAGGGGAGCAAAGGTAGAAGAAGAAAATTCAGATAAGGAGGCCCCTGCAGTAGTCCAGGGGACAGTTAATGAGCATACAGGCCAGGGTGGTGGTTCTGACTGTGGTAGTACATGATCTGAAGGAAGCACCACGATTGCTGATGGACTGGAGGTGGCATATGAGAGAAAGAATCAAGATAACATCATACTGTGAATTTTTTAAACTTCCCATTTTCCTGGTGCCTCCACACCCTCACAGTCTGTTCGCATCCCACCCAGGTGGCCAGGGTGGTCAGGCTGGTCGCTGCCACAGGTTCCCCTTCTTGCCCTCCCCTGACTGTGACAGTGACATTCAAACACAACAATAAGATCCCCTTGTACCTTCTGCTTGTACAGCTGACCCTTGAACAATGCAGGGTTAGGCAGCGATCCCAGTACAGTTGAAAATCTGTATATAACTTTTGACTCCCTTCACACTTAACTAATAGCCTCCTGTTGACGGGAGGTCTCACCAACAACATAAACAGTTGATGAACACATATTTTGTATGTTATATGTATTATAAACAGCATTCTTACAATAAAGGCAACTAGAGAAAAGAAAATGTTCTTAAGAAAATCATAAGGAAAACACATTGGCAGTAGTCATTGAAAAAATTCACGTATGAGTGGAACTGCGCAGTTCAGATCCCTGTTGTTCAAGGGTCAACTGCACACTCCACCACAAACCCCAATAAAGGCCCTTTCCCACAGGTCCTCGCTTGCTCTCAACTCCCCACGTGTTGGGCTGAGCCTAGTCCCTGGATGCTTTTCTCCTGTGGCCCCCTGCACGCCGCGCTGTGCCTCCCTTTCTAGGACCTGAGTATATAACAAGTCCGTCAATTCCATAAGCCTCTCCCAATGTAATTTCTGTGGACATGTTGGACTGATCCTTCAAGACCCCACAAGGGGGACTTACTTCCCCATTTACCACACAAACAGCAAGGTTTTTGGTCTGAGCAACTGGCAAAGTGGGACCATTATTTTCTGAGACGGAAAAGACTAAACAAGGAAGAGCAGGTTTTAGAGGTGGTTCTGATAGTGGTGGTGATTCTGAGGCCTTTCATTTGCTGGATAATAGGTTCTATTATCATTGCGATCATGAACTGAAGAAATCTGTCTTGAAAAGGAATGAAAGCTGCTATCAATAAGATAAGAAATCTATAAATGTTCACTGCTGGTGTCAAGAAAATTCACAACTGCAATTCGCTTGTATAGCTACTTGGTCTCAAGTGTGACGATTTAATGCAATCACACGAGGGCCCTCCTCTGCTGATCCCTTCAGTGTCTTCACAGAACCAGAAGTGCCGCCTTCCATGCTTCTCTCCCCATCACATCCTCAGAGGCTGGTCTCACTGCGAATCAAAGGCCTTGGGCTCCTAACCAGTCACCAAGCCATCTGATGTCCACCTAAGAGATGCTACCAAAGCTCTGCCCTGGAAGAGTGGTCGGGAAGAAGAGTGTGGTGGATTACACACACTGTGGATCACACAACTAAAAAGTACTGCAGAACTGCAAAAATTAAGTGTCTTGCTGTGAAGTTAGTGAAAAGCATATTTGGACACAAATGTGTCTAGGCAGAGAACTACTCTGAAATAGAATCGTTTAAGAATTGCTATTCTAAACCAAAGCAAAACAAAACACCCCAAAACTAGGGATCTATAAATAGTAGGTATGTTAACCAATAACTATCTTCTCCCCGAACTATCTTTTGGCTTAAAACTGATTATATTTACTTTGGGATTCTACTATGTGGAGGAAAAGCAAAACAAAATAGCCATTTCTCCCAGAAGAAGAGACTACATGTTTGAGTTAACATTTGACTATCCAGGAAAAGGTTTTACAGAACTAACTCACTACTTTTTATTTTTTTACAGAACTCTTATTCAGTAAATCAGGTAAGGTGCTGATTCAGAAAACCTACCGTTGACTTAGTGTGGGATGTTGTATTAAATGTTTCAGCCAGGTGCTTCTTATCACATTTCGAAGTTCATGGTTATTGCGGGCTGACAACACACCAACTACCACATCGTAGTGACTAGATTTCCATCGAGGAAATAGGGCCAATTGATCTAGAAATAAGGAACAATAAATTAGAAATGTCATTTCTTAATTACTAAGTCCAATATATAACATAAAAACACTTATTACAAAATAAAATATGTTTATGTTTGTAGAAAATATAAATACAAAAAGAAATAACATTTTGGTGTCTTTCACACATAGGTATGTACTCATGCTCACATAAGTATGTAAATTCTTCAAAACAAACACGACATTTACAACAAGAATCAGTTTGGAAAGGTATTGTGGCATAAACTATAGAATACTGGGCAGTTAAAGTCAACCAGGCCATACAGAATCTTGGTTCTTTAAAATGACATATAACAGTTATTTAACATCTTGAACTCTGGTTTCCTTAACTATGAATGGGCATAATAATACTCATGGAGTTGTATATTAAATGAGATAATGTGTGTAAAAGTCCTGGTGTGGTACCAGGCAAACAGCAGGCAATCAAGGGCAACTAACAACAAAAATGTCCTTTCAAAGATGAAGTCCTGCCTTCATACTAGTTATGAGATTTGGAAGATGAAGCTGAAAGACTCTCATGCTGTAAAGTAGCAGAACCCTTATTAATGTCAATAAATTCTATAGCCAGCAAACCTTTTATCGCTTACTAAATATTCTAAAGAATAAAGGAGGGGAAGTAAAATTTCTAGTAAAAAAAAAAAATCAAGTGACAAGTGAATGGCTCATTTTTTACTGTCATAGGTCTAATGGGCAGGATTATATTTTTAAAATGTGTCCTTAGAAGACAGAAGGAAAAGATACTTTGTCCCTGTTTTTTTTGTTTGTTTGTTTTTGTCACTAGTTTCAAAGCTTGAGAACTACAAGCTTATAATAGCTCTGATGAGGGATCTATTTCATTTCTTTCTCCAGTGGTGGTAACTGAGCCAAAATGTTTCCAAAAATAAATTACTGAAGGCCAGAGATCTATACTACATTAAATGCAATGTTTTCATATGTCGTACGGTCTAGGTATTCAGTCAAAGACAACAAAAACACGTCATTTTTCCCAAAGGACTAATTAAAATAATAAAAAGAAAATCTGGGGATAGATTTTTCTAATAGGATAATTTAAGGGCATTACATTGTAACAATTATAGGAATACAGGAATTTTTGTGTGTAAATACCTTATTTTCCACAATAGGTATGTTTCTTAAAAGGTACTTTAAAAGGTAGGTTGAGATAACAGGTGGATTAGGGATACTTGTTATCTCAACCTACCATGAATCTTGCACTAAAACAAACTGTTCTACAAATTCTTCTATAAAGGCACAATTTATTTTTAAGGTAAATTGAAATTTTCATGAGTTAAGCTCACTTATTAACAGGCCATATTTACTGAACACCTACTAGGTACTAAGTACCATGTATAGAGTATGATTTTAGTGCTTTGCATGCAGAGTATCATTTAAGGCTCACAATCCTATGAGGCAGGTAGTTTAGGCTTCTTGCTAAACATGTGATGAAACAGACACAGAATTCAGTAACTTCCCCTTAGTCAAACAGCTAGGAAACAACTAGGCTAAGATTTAATCCCAGCAATCTAACTGCATTCTTTATCGCTATTCTATTCCATAGATAGAAAGCTTAATATAGCTCATCTAAGTCTAAATTCTGACCTTTTACCCATAACACCAGTTCAAGTGGTGAATTAGTGGTAAGTGAATCACTGAAAATGCTGGTTAGAACTTTAATATTTTAAAATTAATGGCCCAGGAACATTTTTTTCTCAGATATAATTATACAATGAAAGTTGTATCTACTGCTGGAACTAACTTTAAATGAGGGTGAATTTGAGGATAATTTAAATGCTTATGTAATATTTGTAATGCTATCCCACTCCACTCTCCACTTTTTCACAGAGAACTATTAATAGTAAATGCATTTTTGTGACAGGAGTGAGGCAAATGTAGTAACCAGACATATTTGACACTGATTCCATAGTCAACATGCCGCATAGATAGTATCAGTAAGAAGTTATTTAGATTCCTTGTGCCTCAGTTTCCTAACCAGAGAAAATGGATACCAAAAAAATGACTTCAGATACTGTATTTCATCTACTTCAAAATGCCTTCTTAAAAGATTAAGAAGAACAAAAGACCTATTTAACCTAAATGCCTCATTTATCTGACATCAGAAAACAAGGTTGCTGCCCACAGTGAAATTCCAAAATAATTGAAACATCCTTTTAAATGCCAAACATCATTACCTTGTTTTGATGGATAATCAAAATAAATCTTTCAAAAATGGATTACACAGAACATAATTTAACCCTTTCTTGATGACAAAATCTTCATGAACAATTTCTCAAATTTATCTCTTCCTCGTCATTCATTCTGGCCTCTGCTTCTCCCTGACTTCTCATATGACTCCGTATCACACAAGAGTTCTCTAAAAATAAATCAGTAACTAACTAAACATGGAGAGAACCATGTGGCATGAGAAAATCCCATGGATTATGGCTGTAAACCACCTTCTGATCTTACTCCACTTCTCTCTGCCCATCAATCTTCGCTGCTTCTAAACCATGTCTAAGCTGCTTTTGTTGAACTGTTTTACTTTACATTCTTTTCTCACAGAAGAGATATACATGGTAGATTTTTGGCCTTTTAGAGAAGTTCCACTTCCAGATACATTGAAAAAAATAGGTTTCTGAAGACTCAGCCAAAAAACTGTTAGAGTTAATAAACGAATTCAGTAAAGTTGTAGGACACAATCATTTTGAGTACTGGCAAAAATCAGTTCTATTTCTATACATTAACAAACTAACAGAAAGAACTAATTCACCACTTGAATTACTGTTATGGGTAAAAGATCAGAATTTAGACTCAGAATTTACAAATATTATATCAACAAAAAGAATATACCTAGGAATAACCAAGGAGGCTAAAGACCTGTACAATGAAAACTGTAAGATATTGATGAAAGAAATTGAAGATAACACAAATGGAAAAATATACTGTGCTCGTGGGTTGCAGGAAATATTGTTAAAATGTCCATACTACCCAAAGTAATCTACAAATTCAACACAATTTCTATCAAAATTCCAATGGCAATTTTTACAGAAATATAACCAACAATCCTAAAATTTGTAACCACAAAAGACCCTGGATAGCCAAAGCAAGCCTGAGAAGGAAAATAAAGGCTGGAGGCATCATACTCCCTGATTTCGAACTATATTACAAAGCTACAGTAGTCAAAACTGGTGTTGGCACAACAACAGGCAGATAAATGGAACAGAATAGAGTCCAGGGAGAAACTCATATATATATGATCAATTAATTTATGACGAAGGAACCAAGAGCATACAATAGGGAAAAAAGTCTCTTCAATAAATCATGTTGGAAAAAATGGATAGATACATGTAAAAGAATCAAACTGAAACACTGTCTTACACCATACACAAAAATCAATTCAGAATAAAGATATGAACATAACACCTGAAACTATAAAACTTCTAGAAGAAAACATAGGCAGTAGGGTCCAACATTGGTCTTGCTGGTGATTTTTTGTACCTGAAACCAAACACCAAAGCAAGAAAGGCAAAAATAAACAAGTAGGACTACATCAAACCAAAAAGCTTCTGCACAGTAAACCATCAACAAATTAAAAAGGTGACCTATTAAATGGGAGAAAATATTTATAAATCGCATATCTCGTAAGAGTTAATATCTAAAATTTATAGAAACTCACATAACTCAAGAGCAAAAAACCAAACAATCCAGTTTAAAAAATGGGCAGAGGGTGCACTATCCCTCTCAGGTGTGCATCTTTACTTTTTTAAACTCTATGGGTCCCCACGCGATTTGCAACCAAGGGGAGCAGCAGACAGTACCAGCCTGATTGAGGCCAACCCTCTGAACCTGTCTCTATGACCCCTACTGACGGCAGTCCTGCCTTGGCTCACTTTTTTTTCTTCTACAGTTTTATTACATTTTATTAGCTCAACAAGAATGGGTTCATGTTGCCTGAGATTGAGAAACCAATATACCTTTGAATAATACAGCTAACTGTCCTTTTAATCTTTTTTTCCTCTTACTGAATTTATTGAGGCAATACTGGCTAACAAATACATACATGTTTCAGGGTGTACAATTCCACAACACATCATCTGTACACTGTGCTGTGTGTTCACCAACTCAAGCCAGGTCTCCTTCCATCGCCATTTATCTCCCTTCTATTTTCCTCCATCTCCCTTTTGCCCTCACTCCTCCCAGCAATGACCAACCACACAGACTTCTTGTCTGTGTCCATGAGTTTTTTCTCTTTTTGGCTCAATGCACCTTCCCACATACCTGCTCCCTGCTGCCCCCAACATAGCTGTCAGCCTACTAAGAGTCTGTCTCTATTTTGCTTGTTGGTTCACTTTGTTCATTAATTCTACATATAAGTGAAGTCACATGGTACTTGTCTTACTCTGACTGGCTTATTTCACTTAGCATAATGTTCTGCAGGTCCATTCAGGCTGTTGCAAAAGGTAAGATTCCCTGCTTTTTTTTTATGGCTGAGTAGAATTTCATAGTGTAAATATACATCAGCTTTTTATCTACTTATCTACCAATGGATTCTTGGGTTACTTCCAGATCTTGGCTAAGATAAATAACACTACAATAAACATAGGGGTGCTACATTCTTTCAAATTAGTGTTTTGGGTTTCTTTGGATAAATTCCCAGAGGTGGAATCACTGGGTCATAAGGTAGTTTCATTTTTAATTTTTTTGAGGAAACTCCATACTGTTTGTAACAACAACAACAACAACAACAAAACCCAAGAATATACAATGGGAAAAGTCCCTTCAATAAATCATGTTGGGAAAAGTTGGTGAGTGCACCAGTCTGCATTCTTACCAGCAGTGCATGAAGGTTCCCTTTTCTCCACATCCTTGCCAACACTTTTTTGTTGATTTATTGATGACAGTCATTCTGACAGGTATCAGATGGTATCTCCTTGTGGTTTTAATCTGCACTTCTCTATTGATTAGTGACGCTGAGTATCTTTTC